CTTCTGGAGCGCCTGGTCGGAGCCCGTGTCGCTGCTGACAGCCAGCGGTGAGGCCCAGGAGCGGGCAGAGGAGGCGTCGGGGCGAGACACGGGGCCGGCCGCCGCCCTGACCTCCTCCCCGCCTCCCAGACCTGGACCCCCTCATCCTGACGCTCTCTCTCATCCTCGTGCTCATCCTGCTGCTGCTGGCCGTGCTCGCCCTGCTCTCCCACCGCCGGTGAGACCCCGTCGGGCCCTTGGCCCGGACTCCTCCCACCCATGTCTCTCACTCCGGAAACCTAGGCTCGGGGAGGGGTGCCCGCTTGCCCCGGGTCACACGGCGAAGAGCGGTGGCCGGGCTGGGATGCATGCCAGGCCAGACCCAGACTCTGTGTTACAGTGTTCTGCCCCTGGGGACATTCACCTGGTTTTCCCTTCTGCATCCCCTGCTGCCACTTCTTGGGTTCCTTTGCTAATTTCTTTTCCCCATGTCGTCAACTTTGTAAAATCAACCGAGTGGTTTAGTGGGAGGATTTAAGCCCCCGAACGCCTCTCCTCCCCTGTGGTCAAGCTCCTCTTCAGATACTTTATGACCTGACCAGTCATCCCGAGGTATCTGTAATTCCAAGCACACACCATGTCGCTTCATACTCCCAAGTCTTTGCACATATTGTTCCCTCTGCCTGGAATGCCCTTCCTGCCTTGTCTGCTCAGAAATTTTCTTTTTTTTTTCTTTTGAGTCTGGGTCTCACTCTGTCGCCCAGGCTGGAGTGCAGTGGCATGTTCACCGCCACCACAGCCTTGATCTGCTGGTCTCAGGTGATCCTTCCCCCTCGGCCTTCCAAGTAGCTGGAACCACAGGCATGTGCCGTCATGCCTAGCTAATTTTTTAATTTATTGTAGAGATGAGGTCTCGCCAAGTTGCCCAGGCTGGTCTGGAACCTGTGGGCTCAGGCGGTCCTCTCGCCTCGGCCTTCCAAAGTGCTGGGATGACAGGTGTGAGCCACTATGCTGGCAGCAGTTTTCTAGCTGTCTTTCATGGCCTTGTGAATCTACTTGGTTGGAAAATACATACTGAGCACCAGCTATGTGCTAGGTCCTGGAGAGAGAGCAGAGACCCAGTCAGACCCTGACCACAAGTCCCTGACCTACTGGACCTCACAGTCAAGTCAGCAAGCAAGGGAGTCAACAAATATTTGGTTATGAATTGTGATAAGTGATAACACAGAAACAAACAGGACATGGGGACATAGCAGAGCAGTCAGGGGAGGCCTCTGGGAAGAGGTGACAGCAGAGCCAAAACCTAAAGGTTGCAAGGAAGTAGCCATGTGAAAAGTAGAGAGAAGTGACAGCAAGTGCGAAGACCCTGAGGCGGGAATGACTTTGGAACACCGAAGCAGCTTCAGGAACTGCCATTTGGGTAGAACAGTGTGTGTATGTGAAGGACAATGAGGTAAGGGAGGTGACGGGTCAAGTCACGCAGAGCCTTTGCAGGGCTGTGGGGAGGAGTCTGGATTTTATTCCGAATGCCTTGGGGAACCTTGGGAAAGGAGTGAGGAGGAGAGTGGCATCATGGTCTTCCATCCATGGGCCTCCAGGGTTAAAGGGAGCATGATCAGTGTGTTTCGAACTCCTAGGCACCCTTCAGAACTCTACTCCTGTTACCCTTCAGCCAAAGCCCCTGCTCCTCAGCCCTGATGCACCCCTGTGCCTCCTGACGGGAACCAGGAGTATCTGAGCCCTTGCGACTGGGAGCTGAGGGGGTTGTGGTGAGTGTTCAGTGAGTCACATTTCTACCGGTTTCCAAAGGGCTCTGAAGCAGAAGATCTGGCCTGGCATCCCGAGTCCCGAGAGTGAGTTTGAAGGCCTCTTCACCACCCACAAGGGTAACTTCCAGGTAGGTGACCTGGTTGTCCCGTCACCGCTTGGGGAGTCCCTGCAGCCTCACCCCAGACCCCTGAGCAGCTGGTGCTGTTTCCTCAGCTGTGGCTGTACCAGAACGATGGCTGTCTGTGGTGGAGCCCCTGCACCCCCTTCACGGAAGACCCTTCTGCCCCCCTGGAAGTCCTCTCTGAGCGCTGCTGGGGGGAGACACAGGCAGTGGAGCCAGGGGCAGATGGTGAGGGGCCCCAGCTGGAGCCAGTGGGCATTGAGCAAGCCCAGGACACCTACCTTGTGCTGGACACATGGCTGTTGCCCAGGAGCCCGCCCAGTGAGGGCCTCCTAGGGCCTGGTGGCTGTGTGGATGCAGTGGCCATGGATGAGGGCACAGAAGCATCCTCCTGCTCTTCGGCCTTGGCCTTGAAGCCCAACCCAGAGGGGACCTCTGCTGCCAGCTTTGAGTATACCATACTGGACCCCAGTTCTCAGCTCTTGCGCCCACGGGCACTGCCCCCTGAGCTGCCACCCACCCCTCCCCACCTAAAGTACCTGTACCTCGTGGTGTCTGACTCTGGCATCTCAACTGACTACAGCTCAGGGGGCTCCCAGGAAGCCCAGGGGGGCTCATCTGATGGCCCCTACACCAACCCTTATGAGAACAGTCTCATCGCAGCCCCTGAGCCTCCACCCCCCAGCTATGTGGCCTGCTCCTAGGACACCAGCCTGCAGATACTCAGGGACTCAATCTCAAGTGCCAGTGCAGGCCAAAGCCTTATTAAACAGGAATGATGAGGCCTCCTTCAGGGCTGGGGGCGTTACTGACTTTGGCTATCTTCTCAGCCCATCTGGCTCAGGAAATCAGAACCTTGCAGTATTTTGAAATATGTACTGTTTCTTTTTGTATATATTTGTATATATGCATGTTTTTCTACCATGATTTCTACAAACATCCTGTAAACCCCATCTTTCCCTGGGCCTAGGCCATAAGGACAGCTGTTAAAGTCCTGGAGCTCAGTCTGAAGTTCTGGACCTGCAATCTGAATACTAATCGTAATAAAATAAATGAGTCCATATACATTTCGCCAGCTGCTGTAACAAACAACTCCTAGGTCTTAGTGGCTTAACACATTAAGCAGTTTCTCTCTGATTTTTTTTTCTTTGAGTCGGTCTCATTCTGTTACTCAGGCTGGAATGCAGTGACATTCTCACAGCCACTGCAGCCTCAACCTGCTGGGTTCAGGTGATCCTTTCACCTCAGCCTTCCAAGTAGCTGGAGCTATAGGCATGTGCCACTATTCCCAGGTACTTTTTTTTTTTTTTTTTTGAGTTGGTGTCTCACTCTGTCGCTCTGGCTGGAGTACAGTGGCATGCTCAAGGCCACGGCAGCCTCAACCTGCTAGGCTCAGGTGATCCTTCCGCCTCAGCCTTCCAAGTAGCTGAAATTACAGGCGCGTGCTACTATACCCAGCTAATTTGTTTACTTATTGTAGAGATGAGGTCTCACCAAGTTGTCCAGGCTGGTCTCGAACCCCTGAGCTCAGGCAATCGTCTTGCCTCAGGCTTCCAAAGTGCTGGGATTAGAGGCTTGAGCCACCGCGCCCAGCCTGATTTTTTAAAAAATACTGTAGAGATGAAGTCTCACCAAGTTGCCTAGGCTGCCTTCAAACCCCTGGGCTCAGGCAATCCTCTTTTGGCCTCCAAAAGTGCCAGGGTTACAGGCGTGAACTACCATATCCAGCTCTCTCTGATATTGGATTCAGACAGATGGGCAGCCATCGCTGAGATGAAGCAGAAGCCCAGACTCTTCCAGTCAGTACCTTCACTTTCCCTTAGGGTCACCCTGAGGTTATTTATTTTTTTAAAAAGCAGGATTTATTGAGAGAAGAGCTCCCATAGTGGGAGGGGACCCAAGGGGGTTGTCTCACCCTGGGGTCTTTAGATGGATCCTTTACATCCTGTCAGTCAACAAGAAAGAGAAAGTGAAAGATTCCACTGGTCATTTTAGGGGTCAGGCCGGGAAATGGGCTCTCTCTCCTTACATTTCATTGACGAGAAATAGTCACATGACCTCAGCTAGACCCATAAAAGTCTATGAAATGTGTTTACTTGTACATTCAGGAAGAGGAAAACTATCTAGTAAGTTTCTACCTAGTCTCTGCCACCAATAAATAATGCCAACAATAATTCATAGGTCTTTATTCTGAATCAGGTCATGTTCTCAGAAAGCACTCTGATGACACTTGGTGTCATCAAGTGACTCAGTGAGTGTTCTGGTTTAACTACTTTTTAAAATTTGCATAATCTAAAAAAGCTTAACTTATGCTCCAGCAATTCCACTTTTTTTTTTATTATAAAGATTTGGGGTACAATTCAGGGTTAGGTATACAAACGTTGATTCATGTCTTGGTATTTAACACAAAAACACACATTACCAGGACATGAGTACAAGAATATTCACGGCAATAAGGCAACCTGATATAAATTTGGGTATAGTCACCCATGTAATTATATGCAACATGGAAAAAGGAGTGAACTAAACAATGAGGCTGAATCTTAGTAACAACGTTGACTGGAAAAAGAAGGGCGCCTCGGAAGATTACATTTATCATGAAACTCTTCCATGAAGGTTTAAAACAGCAAAAGTAAACAGTAAGGTAGCTGGGCATAATATGTACATAATAATGCTAATTTCTCGGGCAGAGATAGGGTCTCGCTATGTTGTCCAGGCTGGTCTCAAACTCCTGGGTTCAAGCAGTTCTCCTGCCTCAGCCTCCCAAAGTGCTGGGATAACAGGTGTGAGCCACCACACCGGGGAATAATTCTATTTTTACAGAGAAAAAGCACTTTATATTATTTAGGTGTTTGTATCTGCACATGCCCCTGAGGTACATATTCCAGCCGTGGGAAACTGAGGCACAGAGGGGTCGTCAGGGATGGGCTCTGGAGCTTGACCCCTCGGCTGAGCTGAAGTCTCCAGCACGGGTGGGCCACGGGGTGGTCATCATTTCTCCATTTGGTTGGAAAGTCACCCACCACTCGGTCCTGGGGCCCAGCCCGCCTGGCTCCAGGCAGGCGCGGACACCGTGCTCTCGGGGGACTGGCGCATCCGGCTGCAGCCAACACTGAGCAGGAAAATACCGCTGGAGCAGGGCGAGCTGCAGGGCGTCCCCACTGTCTGCCTCCTCCTGGGTCTGGAGGGCTACCATGAGCCCACAGTCCCGGCCGGGCCCCAGCCGGCGGCTGAAGTGGGCGGCTGTGTCCAGAAGCAGGGCAGCCAGGTAGACGGCTTCCTGGGGCCCCGGCTCGTCCGCTAGGTACTCCTCCAGGCCATCGAGCAGCAGAAGGGAGGGGGCGGGCCCCGGGGCCTCATGGGCAGAGCACAGGAGCCGCAGAAGCTCTCGGGTCGAGGGTGGGTACTGGAAGCGGACCTTCTGGAGCGAGAAAGAAGGGAAGGGCCGGCTTCAGCGACGTGGCACCCGCAACGGCCAACCTGCTTCTCCGCGACGACAGACGGCTTCCTCGCCTCCTCTCCCGGACGAGGCTCTCACTCCCCAGACAGCAGGTTCCGGGAGGAAGCGCTCAGAGCTGTCAAATATCCTGTATTTATCCCCCTTTTCTTTTCCTCCTCCCACTCCTTCCATGAGTATTGACCTCTCTTTCACCACACTCATCCCGCCTTTGAAGCATTAAAGTCGTGCTTTAATGCCAAATCTCCGGGGCAGCCTTTCCGCAGAAAACCGGCCCCCGGCGCCCTCAGATCCCACCCCGGACTCCACTGGAACCAAGTCCTGTCCGGACTAGACCCAAGTTTGGCCCACCCTTCCCCAATCGCCCCGATTCCACGCTTTGGGCGCCGCCCCCCCCGCCCACCAGCGGACACCGCCGGTCATTGGCTGGACTCTCACTCACTCTGAACTCAGCTCCGCCCGGTCCCAGCCCTCGCGCATACCCGGCTCCACCCCATCATGGCTTCTTCGACTCGCCTTTCTTCCACTGTCCCCACCACTGGCTTGCTTACCTGTCACTCAACCTCCGATCCGCCCCGCCATTGGCCAGGACGCCTATTGTCCCTCCCCGAAGCTACCTGGAGTCGCCTCGGGTCGAGCGCCGCTCCGACTCCGCGGGGGAGGCTTTGAAGAGGCCTCCGGGTCAGGAAAAGAACTGGGCCTCGACCCTCCCCCGCCGCCTCCAGGGCCGCCGCGAATAGCAGTGCTGTTTTTCCAGAGGCTGGAACGCCAAGCAGCAGCAAAGGCGATCCGGCCTCAACCGTGACCGCCTCTCCGGACCAGGCCGCGCTGCCCCGACTTAGCACCCGTCTCAGCGTCTCCGCCATTCGCAACGTGCCTCTGTCCAATCGGTGGCGTGTTTCCAGCTTTAGTCCCGCCTGAGCTGAGGCCTCATTGGTTATGGCGCATTTATCTTCTCCATTGGTCTGTGGATCTGTCCATCAAATTAGGCCGGCCTGTCTAGCGCCTCCCTGGTGAAATGGGCAAATGGTTATAACCTAGTCTGCGCGTGCAGGAATGAGGGCGTTCCAGAGAGAGGTGACTTTTCCCCGAGGGAGGCTGCTGGCGGAAGCCGCACGAGTACTATTTTTGTGAGCTGATAAGCTAGTCAGAGAAATATAAAGGTTGAGAGTCGGAGGGAGCAGGCCCAAATCATGGACATATTAAAGTCTCCTAGCCTCAGTTTGCCCTCCCATAAAATGGAGCTTGTTGATGTAGCGGGAGACATGGTGACGGGCGTGAGTTTGTGTGGTTTTTGCTGGTGTTACCCAATTACAACTGAGAGGTGGAGTCAGACACGAGCTATGTGCTTGTCCTTCTGTGCACCTGAGTCTGGGCCGAGCGTGGGTCAGGGGTCACAGACCTGGGACACTCGTGTGCAGAACATTGCAGCCATTTCTGAAGGTCTGTGAGAAAAGGGCCGTCAACCTACTTTCTCACTGGCCTTGGGGCTTCCTGGGTCTTGCTTGTGGTACTGGGGAAGGTGGAGCCATAGACCAAAGTCGGGGACCGACTGAAGAGACAGAGACACAGCAGGGACCTTGTTTGTCTTGTTCACTTCTGTCTCTCCAGCACCCAGAATAGTACCTAGCACATTGTGGGTTCTCAAATATATGCTCGTTAGCTCAATGAAGGAAGGCATGTGGGGTTGATGAGAAACTGGGAGAGAGGGAGGAGCAAAGGGAGTGATCGTGATCCCTGGCTGGGTCTCCTCACCCAGACTTCGCCCCGGAGCTGCCACTCACGCCTGTGTTGCCCAGGCAACCTCGTCTCCTGGTAACTTCAAAGTGGTGCCGTTGCCTGGAGACCCAGGGCAGCGCGGAACTGAGATTTCCTGGGCTTTTTCTCTCCCTCTGGGGCCAGAGAACAGCTCCACAACACCCCCCAACACACCCACTCTCGCAGCTGGGCACTGCACACTACACACACACACACACACACACACACACACACACACACACACACACACACACTCACTCACTCACACACACACGCCATGGCATCTCTGCCTAGATCCACTTTCAGAATCCCCATCACCCACAAGCATATAGCTCTACCCTGCCCTGATACAAAGTACCCATACACATTCGGTCCCACATCCACACGCCCACACTTTTACTCTTGCACAAACACGCCACTTTGCCATTGCCACTGCACAAAGACACACACACCATGAGGCACACTGCTAAATTGCATTGCTAAATACATCACCTCAGCCCAACCCGGCGTCACACCTGTAATCCCAGCACTTTGAGAAAACAAGGCAGGAGAATCGCTTGAGACCAGCCTGGGCAGCATGATGAGACCCCTTCGCTACACAAAATTGAGGGGGAAAAAATTAGCCAGATGAGGCGGCACATGCCTACCAAGTCTCTCTCTCTCTCTCTCTCTCTCTCTCTCTCTCTCTCTGTCTCTCTCTCTCTCTTTTGAGTCAGAGTCTCTGTTGCCCAGGCCGGAGTGCAGTGGCACACTGCTCACGGCCACCGCAGCCTTGACCTGCTGGAAGATGATCCCTCCACCTCAGTCTTCCAAGTAGTTGGAACCACAGGCTCTAGCCACCACGCCCGGCTACTTTTTTTTTATTTATTGTGGAGACGAGGTCTCGCCAAGGTGTCCAGGCTGGTCTCAAACCCCTGCACTCAGGCAATCCTCTAGTCCCTGCCTCCCAAAGTGCTGGGATTACAGGCATAAGCCACCGTGCCTGGCCTCCCATCTCTTAAAAAAAAAAATGTTGTTGAAATCTCACTCTGCCACCTAGGCTGGAGAGCAATGGTACGCCCACGACTACCACAGCCTCAATCTGCTGGGCTCAGACAATCCTTCCACCTCAGCCTTCCAAGTAGCTGGAACTACAAGCCCGTGCCACCACATCTGGCTTTTAAAGTTTTTTTTTTTTTTAATGTAGAAATGAGTCTCACCATGTTGCCCAGGCTTGTTTAGAACTTCGGGCCTCAGACAATCCTCCCTCCTCGGCCTCTCAAAGTGCTGGGATTACAGGCGTAAGCCACGGTGCCTAGCCTGTTTTGCAATTTTGAATGGGGTGACTGGGACAAGCTTCACTGGGAAGGTGACATTTGAGAAAAGGCTTGAAGGAGGTCAGGGAGAGAATCATGCACATACACGGGAGAGCTTTCCTTGGGGAGAGACCAGCAGGTGCCTCTCCTGAGGCATGAGGAGAAGGTTGCCTTTTTCTTGAGTGCCGTGGAGAGCTATGGAGGGCTTTGCACTTAGGAGGGTCGTGGGCCGACTTACATTCTGAATCAGGGCTCTGGGTTGGTCGAGGTGAGTTTGAGGTGCTGTGAGACCCTCAGGAACGCGTCGAGAATCTTTGGAAGAAGCACAGACGAGTCTGGGTTCTCCTAAGTGCTACCGAAGACCGTCCATCCCGGGGTGGGAACGGGGCAAGGCCAGGGCGGTCCTTCCCGTCCCCGCTGGCGGCCGGAATCAGCACCGCGGACAGCGCCCGCGGGGCTGCGCGGAGGCGCTGTCCGCAGTGCTGAGCCTTTGCCCGAGCGGACCAGGAAGGACCGCGGGTCCCAGGCGTGTGAGCTCTGAAACCGAAGCCTTGGTCGGTCGAGCGGGGAGCACCATGATCCTATCTGTCCTCGGCCTTCAGCTGAACTTCCGCCTCGTCCCCCGTGACCCAGGACCAGCCTCTCCACCGCCCCCTCCATCCCTCTGGCGCCAGCTACACAGACCTGCTCCCAGCTCCCCAGACACGGGGGCTCTCTCCCACCCCAGGGCCTTTGCACTCGCTATTCCCCTTCCCCGGAACGCTACGTGTCCCACCCCCATTAGATATTTGCACGCCTGCCTTTTTCCCCGCCTGCATGTCAGAGTCGTCCCAGAGAGAACTTTTCAGACGACTACTCTCTTTTATTTTATTTGTATTATTATTATTATTGAGTCAGAGTCTCATTCTGTCGCCCAGGCTGGAGGGCAGTGGCACGCTCCCGGCCACCGCAGCCTCGACCTGCTGGGCTCAGGCGATCCTTCTGCCTCAGCCTTCCAAGTCTACAGGCACGCCCTCCTACACCCAGCTAATTTTTTATTTATGATAGAGACAAGGTCTCACCAAGTTGCCAGGGCTGGTCTCGAACCTTTGGGCTCAGGCAATCCACTCGCCTCAGCCTCCCAAAGAGCTGGGATTACAGGTCGAGTCACCGAACCCAGTCTAATTTTTTGATTTATTGTAGAGATGACGTCTTGCCAAGTAACCCAGGCTGGTCTCGAACCCTGGGTTCAGGCAATCCTCTCACCTCTGTCTCCCAAAGTGCTAGGATTACAGGCTGAGCCACTGGGCCCGACCTTTCTTGTTTGTTTGTTTGTTTGTTTGAGTCAGAGTTCACTGTGTTGCCCAGCGTGGAGCGCAGTGGCATGCTGCTCATGGCCACTGCAGCCTAGACCTGTGTTGCTCAGGCAATCCTTCTGCCTCAGTCTTCCAAGTAGCTGCAGGCTCAGGCAATCTTCTCGCCTCCGTCTCCCACAGTGCTGGGATTACAGACATGAGCCACCGTGCCCAGCCCTCTATATGTATATATTTTTTATAGCTATGGGGTCTTGCTATTTTGTCCAGGCTGATCTCAAGCTCCTCCTATCTCTGCCTCCCCAAATTCTGGGATTACAAGCATGAGCCACCATGCCTGGCCCAGTTTTCAGACTTTACAAAATTTGGAATTGTGGACCTGTTTATGGCTTATTTATCTTGTTCATTGTCTCTCACATGTTGGAATACTCACATCTATGAGGGCAGAGATTCATGTCTGTTCTGTTCACTGCTATGGTTCCTGTGCCTAACAGCACCTGTTCTATGGGGCTGAGTGTTTGTGTCCTCCCAAATTCATATGTTCAAATCCCCAAGGTGATGGGGCCCTTGGGAGGTGGCTAGACCGTTAGGACAGCGCCCTGAGGAAAGGGATGAGTGCCTTTATCAAAAGGCCCCAGAGAGCTCCTTCACCCCACTGCCAAGTAACTATCGCCAGATGGTGTCAAATGGGAAGAGGGCCCATGGAATCAGCTGAGGTCTTGACCTTGAACTTAGCGGCCTCCACGCCTGTGAGAAATGAGTTTCTGTTGCTTATAAGCCGCCTAGTCTGTGGTGTTTTGTTTCAGTGGCCCAGACAAAGACATCCTGGCACACAGTGGGTGCCATGGTGTGTGCTGAATGAATGAAAGAATGGATGGATGGATGGATGGATGGACGGATCGATGAATGGGGAAAGGAGGGATGCAGACTCCCCTTTCCTGGTTCCGGGCTGACTCTGGGTCCCAAATGGCACGTCCGAAGTCCCGCAGAGCCACAGCCGGTGCCTCCAGCCCTCGTCTCTGATGAGTTCTCAGGGGCTTGGGACTTGGCACATCCTAGTAACCGGCCCTCCTGCCCTCATCCATACAACCAGGTGTTGGTCTTGAAGGTTCCTGGTGCCCCTCAGGGTCCCCCCATCACTCTCAAGACCCCCACAGGGTCCTCACAGTAATCCCATGCCCCTGCACCCTAGCCATGGTCAGACACCCAGGCAGGTAAGGCCCCTCACTGTGTGTTTGTGTGCCTTGGTGGCTTGAGGGGTTGTCTGCATTTGGCAGGGGAAGAAACGAGCACAGAGAGGTTAATTAACTTTCCTGAGAGCACACAGTCAAGACACGCCGAGTCCTGGCCCAAGTTGCCAGCCCCGTGGTTTCACCCCGCCTCTCTACCATCGTCCTCAGATACACTGCAGCAATACACCCACACCCAGCTCCAGACACCAGCCCTCCACACCCCCCAACCCGGGGGAGGAAGGCAGGTGGCCAAACTTCTGTTACAAACAGGTCTTTTATTAAAGATGAGGAGGGGGCAGGAAGGGGGGGCAGTGTCTCCTCTGCCTGTTGCCTTTGGCCATCCAGGGGAAGGGAGACCCTCTGCTCTGCCCATATCCCCTGCACAAGGCTGAGGCATGAGGGGAAGAGGGAAGGAAGGGGTGGGTTCCCAGAAAAAAAATCCTTTTCCACAGCCCTAATAAGTAGCAGGAGGGTTGGGGTGACCTGGGCACAGGCAAGGGGAGACACAGCACCCTGAGCCCCAAAACCTTTGACCTGGGGCAAGTCCTGCTTAAGTAGGGGGTAAGGAGGGGCCGGGTAAGAGGTTGCTCACAGGGGAGGGACGAAGAAGGGGGGTGCCCCAGGGACCCTGTCATGGGGGAACCTGCCCCCCACCCTACATCTGGACTCCCGATTCTGAGCGAGGACTTGACGACAAAGAACGCCCTCGTCTCCCCCCTCTCCCTCACACATGCTTAGACACGGGCGGTCCCCCATTGACTGGAATCATACCCACCCACTCTAGAAGTCTGGCAACCAAGGGCTCCTATGGGCTGTTCAGACGGGACCCTGGCTGGAGCTGACCTCTTGCCTGAGGATTCTAAGAGTGAGGGGAGGCTCCCATTGGCCGGAGCTCCCTCCTTTTGGGTAGAATCCTGAGAACTGGGGGCCCTGGTTGGCTGGGCAGTGGCCAGTGGGGTCGGGTGTGGCCCTTAAAAGGACTATCTGAAGGGCACGGGCCCACCTCGCACCTTGGCTCACTGGGATGTCCCAGAGGGCAAGAGAGGCAGGAATCTCCCAAATGTCCCTCCAGCCATCTCGTCGTGTCTGGGTTTGGCCGGCTTGGGGGGGCAGAGGGCTTTGGCACTCACGTGGCACACGCACACACACGCGTGGCGGGGAAGAAATGGGGCCTGGGCACGTTCTGGGTGGGTGGTTGGGCCTCACAGCAGGTGGTCACGGCTGGCAAACAGGTAGGGGCTGAAGTTGTCCCGGTGGAAGGGGGAGGGGTAGAGTCCACTCAGAGTGTACAGGTCCCGCAGCAGGGGCGTGGGCAGCAGTAGCTTACGGCCACGGCCACCACCCCCGCCTGGCCCCCCAGGTCCAGGGGAGGAAGGGGAGGGGCCCTGGCTGGGGGCGGGCGCGGGCAGGGGCAGGGGCAGAGGCAGGGGTGTCGGCTCAGACCTCAACCGAGGACGGGGCACACGGGGCGACGAACACATGGCTGGGGCCCTGGAGGACACGCAGCTGGGGATCAGGTGGCCACGGCGGGCACAGTTCTGCGGCTCTGGGGGTCAGGAGTCAGAGATCAGGGGATCAGAAAGTTGGAGAGGCAACCCGGTCGTGGTCGCCCACCTGTAAGTTCCCCTGTTTATCCCCTCACTCCCTCAACACTCACTGGATGGGGTGAGCCGTGCCGGTGTCGAATGCGGCCTGCAGGCCTCGGGTTCCTGAGACAAAGAGGCAGAGGAGAGGGCTAGCGGCCCTCTGGGCCTCACCGGCCATGGCCACGAGGGGCTCATCAGGCCGAGAGTCCCAAGGACAAGACAACCAGAGTTCTCAGGATTGGTGGTGACCCCTCCGGAGGGATAAGGGGTCCGTCTCCTTCAATAGTGAGCTCCTCCCAGGCCCCGTATCCACAGAGATGGGCAATCCCTTCACCTCCCCATGGTCCCAAGTTCCCCAAGGCTCCCTGACTTCCTGCCTCCTTGGGCCCCCTCCGCCCACCTCCCTCTCCAGCCGGGAGTGCCCCCAGCCCCCCTTACCTGGGCCACACTTAACTTTTCGAGGGGGCTGTCCATGGTGGGGGCTTGACCCAGGTCTTCCCAGGGGGAGAGCCTTCGGCCAGAGGGTGGCCGGCTCTGGAAGTTGTGCACGACACAGGTGACCTGGGACAGGGGAAGAGGGGAATGTTGAGGCTGGAGCCAATCATGCAGGCATTATGTCGGCACCATCCCCATGTTTCAGATAAGGAAACTGAGGCTCGGGTTCTCATAAGCGGCTAGTGCTTACTGTGTGCCAAGCTTACTGCTCTTGGGTGGGTGCTTTATTTATCCCACAGGGCCAGACTAGGGTGAAGTGAGACTGAGTTGCACAGGGGCAGGATATGATCCCTTCTTTAACATTTTTATGTTCTATGCATTGTGGTAGTTTTGTATTAATTTTGATTTTTTTTTTTCGTCAGTCAAATTTATCAGTGGGGGGGTTGCATATCAACTTCAGTGACACTGATGTGAATAAGTTCTGACAACCCACTATCATCAGATCAACCAATTTAGATTTTTTTTTTTTTAATTGAGACAGGGTTTCGCTATGTGGTCCAGACTGGTCTCTAACTCTTGGCCTCAAGCAATCCTCTTGCCTCAGCCTCCCAAAGTGCAAGGATGATGACTGTAAGCCACCGTACCTAGCCAATTTTTATTCTTTAAAATGCTTCATTAAAATAGTATTCATCTTTTTGGAGTTATTTTATTTTGAGTCAGGGTCTCTGTCACCCAGGCTGGATTGCAATGGCACAATCACATTTCACCACAGCTTTGACCTCCTGGGATCAAGAAATCCTCCTGCCTTGGCCTCCCAAAGTTCCGGAATTACAGCTGTGAGGCACTGCATTCAGCTGATAATAATGATTATTATTATTTTACTTGGAGTCTCACTCTGTCACTGATGCTGGAGTGCAGTGGCACACTCACAGCCACCTCAGCCTTGACTTGCTGGGCTCAGGCGATCCTTCTGCCTCAAACTTCCAAGTAGCTGGAACTACAGGCATGTGCCACCACACCTGGCAAATTTTTTGTTTTATTGTAGAGATCTCACCAAGTTGCCCAGGCTGGTCTGGAACCCCTGCACTCAGCAATCCTCTCGCCTCCGCCTCCCAAAGTGCTGGGATTACAGGGGTGAGTCACCACACCCAGCCCAGCCCATATTATCAATGCTGGTTGCTGAGTGGGCACCCTCCTAAAATCTGCACTCAAGGCCGTGCCTCACCCTGGTCCTGATATCCCATTTCACAGATGAGACCATCCAGGCAGGGTCAGGTTAAGGGACTGAACCAAGTTCACACAGGTCCACACCCTTTACCATAGTGCGGTCCTGCTTCTCAGAGCAGAGGGCCCACGAGGAGTCTCCCAAGCTGGGATGGCTAGGGAGGGACTCACCAAAAAGGTGGCGATGGCCACCCCGGTCAGGAAGCCGGCCAGCACGTCAGACCAGTGGTTGCGGTACTCGGCCACGCGGACCACGCCCACCAGGAAGGCCGGGCACAGCAGGGCCAGGCAGAGCGAGGGTTTGACCAGGCGGGAGCCCTTCACGCGGAACACGAGAGTCACGTACATCTGTGGGAGCCGGACTCGTTAGGGGTCACGTGGAGGGCCCGTCCCGAACCCAGGAGGACCAGGCTTTCGGGGCTAGGGGGCGTGGCCAGGCGCAGGGCTGCAGGGTGTGGCGGGAGGCTCCATCCAGGGGTGGATCGCGGAGTCCCAGGGGTTCCTGAGGGGGCGTGGCCATAAGGGCTCAGAGAGGGGTGGGAGCCTCAGGGGCACCACCTGTAGGGCTGGGGGCGTAGGCAGTGCACCCGAGAGCAGTGGATAAAGTCGGGCCCGCGTCCCAGGTGCGGAGTCAAAGAAGAGGACAGACGTCTGCTGGCCTCAGAACCAGAGGGTGGGGTCAGAGCTAAAAGGGGAGGGGGTAGAGTCCCCAGCCGGGGGGAGGAATTGTGGGGGGCCACGGGCAGGGTGAGGGGCATAATCCCAGAAGCCAGAAAAAGGGGTCAAAGCAACGGGGTGGAGAGACAGAGAAAAGCAGGGGACAGAGTAAGAAGTCCCAGCACGGCCAAGAGCAAGGGGCGTGGCCAGGGCCACAAGGGCCGGGGTAAGGCCCCAGGGAGGGGAAAGGACTCCAGGGGGCCGAGGCAAAACCCACCCGCCTCGCCCGCAAGTCGACATCCAGGACCTGTAGCAAGAAGGGGGCCTGGCTGGGCTCCAGGGACAGTGCCCAGAGCCCCCCGTAGGGTGGCGTCCACAGCCTCCCTCCGGGGGGCCTTGCTAGGGCCGGGGGCGGGGCCGGACGCGAGAGGGCGGGGCCTTGCTAGGGCCGGGGGCGGGGCCGGACGCGAGGGGGCGGGGCCTTGCTAGGGCCGGGGGCGGGGCCGGACGCGAGAGGGCGGGGCCTTGCTAGGGCCGGGGGCGGGGCCGGACGCGAGAGGGCGGGGCCTTGCTAGGGCCGGGGGCGGGGCCGGACTGAAGAGGCAGGAGCTGTGGGTAAAGTGGAACAGGGACCAGGCCCATCGACCCTGACCTGGATTATGAAGAACTAGCCTTACATTTAACTTAGCCACAAAAGTACTTTTCATGGAAGAAACTAAAACTTAATACTAGAATCCTAATCTATATCATTTGTAATATGTTTGCATATAACAACACACGTGCATTTCTATTTGAATTATTATGTAATTTTCAGTTCATTTCATGACTTGATAATATTCAACTTATCTAGTTGTCATTATTTAGCACAAAGGTAAGAAACTCTTCGGGCTTTTTTCCAGATATATGAATGGGGGTGGACTCCATAAGATAATTATGGTCAGACTTCTGCATCTGTGTGTTCCAC